ACTCGATTACTTGAAAACATTCCAATTCTTCGACATTGGATTAAATTTTCTTTCAAACGTTTCTGTAGACAAGAAACTTAAAAAAGACAAGGAATCTTCCAGATGTGATCATTTAGAGATTTCCTTTATAACGAGTATATTATTCTGCAATCAACACATAGGTCTTTCTTCTGCCATAATAAACCATTTTGACAAGTATGGGACATTATTTGCCCATCCATTAATGCTTAAGCAAAATTCAGATATAGATACTTGGAAAACTTTTGATAGACATAATAAACAAGAGAAGGCCTTTAGTGAGGGCTCTAGGCAACAAAATAACCGGGATATTTATACTGGACAGAAAATTTTTCAGTGTAATAAAATGGATGAAGATTTTGCAGATTGCCCAGACCCTAGTAAACCTCAGTATCTTCATTTTCTGCAGAATATTTATAAATGTGAGAAATGTGGAGAAGTCTTTGATCAGTGCTCAAAACTTGCTGTCCATCCAAGTATCCATTTTCAACAGCAGACAACTGATACTGTAGATGAACATTATAGATGTAAAGGATGTGAAAAAGTCTTTACCAAAACTTCAGCCCTTAGTCAACACCAGAACACTGAAACTGAAGAGAAACTCTACAAATGTAAAGATGATTGCACAGATTTTAATCAAAACACAGCACCTACTCAACACAAGACAATTGATAGAGGAGAGAATCCTTACAAATGTAAAGTTTGTGGCAGAGCCTTTAAATTTTGTTCAACTCTTACTGAACACCTGTTAATTCATTCGGGAGAGAAACCCTACAAATGTAAAGAATGTAACAAAGCCTTTAATCAAAGCTCTAATCTTACCAGACATCAAAAAGTCCATACTGCAGAGAAACCCTATGAATGTAAAGAATGTGGCAAAGCCTTTAAACATCGTTCAACTCTTTCTCAACACCTGTTAATTCATACGGGAGAGAAACCCTACAAGTGTAAAGAATGTAACAAAGCTTTTAATCAAAACTCTAATCTTACTAGACACCAGAGAATTCATACTGGAGAAAAACCCTACAAATGTAATGAATGTGGCAAAGCATTTCCTAGAAGTTCAAGTCTTACTTTACATAAGAGAAGACACACTGGAGAGAGACCTTATAAATGTAAAGAATGTGGAAGGGCCTTTCATCAAAGTTCAGCCTTTACTCAACACCAAAGGATTCATACTGGAGAGAAACCCTACAAATGTAAACACTGTGACAAAGCCTTTGTTAGAAGTTCAATACTTAAGGAACACCAGACAATTCATACTACAAAGAAACTGTGCAATGCAAAGAATGTGGCAAAGCCTTTGATTGAAGCTCACATCTTACTCAGAACCCAATAATATATATTGGAGAGAAATCCTACAAATGTAGAAAATGTGGCATAGAATTTGATCAAAATTTAATCCTTACTGAACACTAAAGAATTTATAGTGGAGAGAAGCCTTAAAAGTGTAAGTAATGTGACAAAGCGTTTACCCAGTATTCAAATGTTAGACAGCATCACTGTATTCATGTTAAGTAAAGATCTCATCAAAGTAAAGCTTCTAAAAAAGTCTCTTCACATACAAAAATTTGCACTGGAAAGAAAACCTACGAGTGTAAAGATTGTCAGATTGTTTCATCAAAAGTTAACGCATTTTTTACATTTCCCCTAAATGGCCTCAGTTTTGAAAACTGTAAAAAAAAAAAACAACACCTCTTGGTCATTTTAGCAGAAAAATTGCTTTCTCAGTTATTTAAGTGTTTTTCTATAGAGAACACACAGTATGTTTTGTTAGTGAATAAAAGAATGGTTCATAATGTGTTCACAGTGTTGAGTAGTGAATGATATATTATTCTACCACAGACATTATAAACTCTTCCATCTTGTTCAAGTTTTTCAGGAATCAGATGCTAATGGTATACTATTGGGCAAATAGAAGAATGACATTTTTAGTAATCCTAGGATCATTGAACTTGAGATAATTTGAATACCAGTATTTTCATTAGTCATAGTTTTATTTTTTGGCCTTTCTATTTGTAATTACTGGGAAATTATGATTATTGTTGAAATTTAAAAATAAGCCCTTTCTGATTGTTAATTAGTATCTATAAATTTACTCTGGTTTATTTTCATTCCTTCAGATTTCAAAATACAGACCTTTATATTAATTTATATTAAATGAAAAGTACACATTCTAAGAAACTTCAGGAATAGTTGAACTGTATAATTATGTACTGTGTATATATGTGAATTTATGTCTGAGTGAATACCTACTGAGAGGAAAAGGACATTATTGAACCAAAAGATAATTTCAAAAGGTGTGATTATTTAGTAGTAAATAAGAAACACATGATTAAAAGTTGTTTGCCTACTTTATTTACTCAAGATGTTATTGTTCCTGCTTTACAGTCTCCTTATGCCAAATCTGACCATTTTTATTTGTTTATTACTAATGCAGAAATTATGGCATACTTAGTGGAATTTTATGAAATAGTCTTTTACCTGTATCAAATTAATAAGAATGGGATTTTGATATGTGGCTACTATAGTAAGTCACATTTTCTCTAAATGGTATATCACATTATTTCTTTCTGATAGAGAACAATTTAAAGTGACTTTAACATGTTGTTCCTTTCAGTTTCTTTAAAGACCTCATATAGTTTAAGGTATTCATTGAACCAAATTTTCCAGTTGAAAATTCCTCATGCTTTATAAATCCTTTCGGTTGTTTTGAAATTTATGTGAAATAAATATTCACAGCAGTATAAAGTATATAATAGACAGTCTATAACTAGGAGTAGAGTATTCATATTAGAATTCATTATTTCATGTAAGGGAATAAAAGTACCAAGATAAAGGCGTATCCTGTATGTTGGGAGATGACACCTATTACAAGGCTCCGTACATGGCACTTTCCAAATTTAAGAGAAGGAATTCTTCATTTCTTGAGTATCTCAAGTATGTCATTGGTTCTTTAGTTCTTTAGCTTCATATGCATCATTGTTATTCTCCTTTGCCACTTGGCTTGGTTCCCCTCTTCCCAGCAGGAGGGACACATGTGGGTATTTCCCTGATCCTAGAGCCCTCGGACTCCTTCCCATGTCCTACTGTCTGCATTGAACTCTGTTGCCCAGTCATGGCCTCCCATGCGGCTGGGTCCCTCGTTCTCTGGGATCCTCTGCATTCCTAGCTGCTCAGAGGCAAGAGTTCTGGGGCCACTTGCAGGATACAGCCCAGGCCTAGTGTCCTTGGCAGTGGGAGTATCTTCAGGGTGTGTGTGCAGACCCCTCCCCCGCTAGCTCCAGCCCATTGCTTACAGAATGAGGGCATTTGGCAGCTGCTGACCTGCTGCTCAGGGTTGCTGGGGGAGAGGCCCTGGCCACTATACTCATACACACTGATCACCCCCAACTCCTGTCACTTTATGGTTGCATCCCAGGGTCTCTCGGGTAGAAGTTTATGCCTGGACCATGATACAGATGCTAAGCCCCTGCTACTGCTCCTTATGCCCAGGAATATAAGGGGGCATCCAGCAGAGCAGGAGAGGTTCTCCCCATTGCCCACTTTGGGCTGAGCCCAAAGCGATACTGCCTGAGGCTTTGCTGAGGCACTCAGATGGGTAGTGTCTGGGGGAAGAAATTGGCTTCCGAATGCAGTAGCTATGGACTTGTGCATGCTTTCAGAAAACAGGATGTTGTGTCAGACTTTATGGAAAGCCTAGGGAAGTCAGGACCTGCAGGAGTCATACAGGGCAGAGGTAAGGCAGAGGTAAGGCCTTGGCCTGTGCTTATGCCCACATGGCCTTTGCTCTGGGGATCTCTTTGCGCGTTTCATCAGTGGACCCTGAAAGACCTCAGCCATGGCTGTGGCCCCTCCCCACCTCTGTGCAGTGCCTGTCCTGAAGGCCCAAGCTCAGTCAGTGCTTCCACAGACCAAGGCCAGGTTGTCCCAGGCTGATCTCAGGGAAGTTCCGTGCCACCTCTCATCCTGATCTCAGGGAACCTTTATCCCCCTCTCAGCTCAGCACTGCCTTATGCAGCCCTTCTTGCCTGCTCTGCCAGGCACCTGTTCTTCCAGACCACATGGTGTCCCAAGTCCATAGAACCCAAAATGGTCTCTACACAGCCCCAAGCAGCTGCCACACAGGTGTCCTTCCAGGACATACAGGAGCCTACCCGTTAGCAGGGAGCACCTTCAAGAAATGGCTTGTCACATTAAGATGTTCCAGGCCCTTCTCTTCTTGAACAAAGAATTGGACAAGACAAGCAAACCTGGTGTCAAAGTTTATTTGAAAAAGTGAAGCATGAGGGAGAAACTGGTTCTGCAGAGTGAAGTTGAACCAAACAAAAGGAAATAAAGCAAAATTAAAAGCACATTTTAGGGGTATGGGGTTAATAATACCCCTTGGTTATTGCAGGCTGATCAAGTCTGCAATCTCCCAAACAAATGTGTAGTGAAAGCTAAGTAAAAATAGGCAAATGGAATAATTTCAGGGCTCCAGGAGGATCAGAGCCCTCTTACAGAATTTGAGATTCTTTTGGGGCTAAGACCAAGACCACCTCTGGGTGGCCCTTGCTTATTTGGTTATCGGAAGAAGGGAGGGGAGTACTCAAGAAGGGCGGAATCACTCGAGGACTTCTCCAGGTAAGGCATTAAATTAATCTTTAAAAAGGATTAAGTTAATCCACCCAGGAGGGAGACGCCTAAGGCTGTAGTCTTTATCTAGTTGAGATTAGATCCGGGTGTCCTTGGCTGTGATCTTGTTTTATTCTTTGAGGCTTTCTGACTTCATCCACCATTACAGGTTTTAGTAGGGATTAGTGACTCTCAGAGGTTCACTTACTATGCGTCCACAGCCCCTTTCCAGACAAGCAGCCTACGCTTTGGACTCAAGTAACAATGAAAAGCCAGTTGGTTAATTTAAGTCCTGCTCAGAGCTGCTTCATAGTGGTCTCTGTCAAGGGGACACAGGGCAGGCTGTCCTGAGGAGGCACTGTCGCAAGCTCTTCATGATGTCTGTGTCTACGCTGTCCACACCTCATGGGATCTGGCAAGAATTTACATACCGGCTCTGGAGAGGCAGTGTTGCCAAGATTCTTCGATCCTGCCAGGCCTCTCTTTCCAGCCAGTCTGAGCCATACTCTTTACCTCAAGCCTGCACCTGCTGGCCTCAGGGAAGTCAGCACACGTCTTTGTTTGGGCTCAGAATGCTTTGCTTTATTCCCACAAAGATTGTGTTCCCTGGCTGAGATGTCCAGCAGGAGCTCCTGACTTCTCTATGTGCCACGTCAGTAAAAGGGAGTTGAAAATTCAGTGCTGCTCACTGTTAACATTGTAGTCTGTACATTGTAATTTTAAACTTTTTTTTTGGAAAGTTACTGGTTTGCAAAATAACAAGTGATACTTCTGGGTATAATTGAGGCTAGATTATTACATAAACTTCATTTCCTCCTGAAATTTGTTTAAGGGAATTAATTTTTGTTAATTTTTGTTAAGTGTTTTAAAGACAAAATCTTAAAATGATATGCTTTACAAACATAAGGAAAAAATAATTGTACTTAAAAATTAGATTTTGGGGGAGATACAGTGCAGATTATACAAACCTCAAGTCTGACAGAACTACTTTCCTACTTCTTGCCCCCATTATTTTTATTACAGGATCTCCCTAAGTTGTATAGGGTGGCCTTGAATTTCTGATCCTCTGCCTTAGCCTCCAGAGAAGTTGTGATTATAAGCATGCGCCATCACACATGGCATCAGATTTGTTAAGGATGTAAATAGAAAATACACATTGAAGAAATATTGCTGCATCCAGCACAGCTCTCAAGTTTCTCTAGGGGAGGACAGTGGAGAGTAAAGAAATGGAGGCAAGAGTCAGAATGCAGAAAGCTGAGGTCAGGTGGAGCCTGTTTTCCTGGTGGGAGAAAAAGAACCACCCAAGGACTGCAGTGCATTTATTTATACACTTGGGAGGCTATTGTCAATTGAAACCCCTTTGCTTAGCATCTTGTTTGCCTGGCTTGCCTCTGGCAACTCTTATTCTCAGAGCTGGAACAGCTTATTCATGTGGCTTGACTCAGGTGCTCCGTGTTCTCAAGGCTGGCCTTACTTTAGCCCCACGTGTGACTGATCTCCAGTTTGAGCTGCTTCCTACAAAATATCACTGATTCCTAATCATACTGAAATACAGTTGTAGTTTCCAGCTCATAGTTACTATTAAAAGGAAAAGCCTTTAGACAAACTAAATTTTGCAGTTTTGAGCAAACAAAGTGAAGAATTCTCCCTGGTGTTCTTCAGATCCAGTACATGGAAAGTGCCAGAGCTGCAGAGGGAAGGGCAGTGCCTGTGAGCTGAAATCAGGCAGAGACACAGCTTCAGCACTTACAAAGTACTTAATTCATGATGCTAGCTACCCACACATTTAGCTGCAGGAATCAGCATAGTCAGTTTAGGACTCTGAAGGAAATTTTCACTTTAATGGGAAATTAGATTGAAGCTTTTGTCCTGAGGACTCCAGTGTGAAGGTGACTTCTGACTGCATCTAAGTGAAGCTGGCCAGTGACAGTTTGAAGAATTGAGTACCACCTTTGATGTACACAATTTTGTAAGCAATAAAGATTTAAAAAATTTTCCCTCTACTTTTTAAATATTTTGGTTCATAAGTACATGTGTATAGTCCATAATGCTTACCTTCCATGTAGGAAGTTGGTATGTACATAACATCACTTAATTCCTTTTTTCATCTGCTTTACCTTCCTTTCTCTTGACTCATCCCTTGATCCTTTTTTTTGTACATGTTTTTCAGTAAATAATGTTTACATTCCTTGTGTGGATTTGGTACATGTATGTAACAGATCTCAATTACATCCCTCACCTCTTCCTTCCCTCCCACTTCCCTTCAACTTCCCTCCATCTCTTGATCCCCTTCCCATCTGACCCACGATTTTTGTTTCATGGTTTTCTGCTGGCTTTCTTATGGTGCTGGGGATTGAACACAGTACCTACTCTTTGGGCTTTTGGTGGTCCTGGAGAAAAATGGTGAGGGAGATTTAGAAAATAAAGACAAGCAAGAGCTGAGGTCAGGTGGAGGTCCTCTCTCTCCTGATGGGAGGAGAAGAGCTGAACAACAGTAGGGGTGTTTATTTATACTTCCGCAAACTTAGTATCATGAGCCACAAGATTGCCTAGCAACTGATGATAAATTGTCCAAGCAGGATGTTTTTCATCCTGAGGTAGCTTCAAGACTGAGGTAGCTTCACTGCTTTAAGCGCTTCAGCCATACATATGACCAATTTCCAGCTTCAGCCTCCCTCTACAGTACATGCTGTAAAGTGCTTCACTAATGAGTTATACCTTAGC